GTTTCACAGAAGGGGGCGGGGGTAGATGAAAGCTCTTTAAGGGAGACTAACAGATTAACTTTAATCTGTTTCCCTCCTTCCTAGAAGGATGTGATGTGTGATGTGATGAATGGAGCTTCAGCAGCCTTCTTAAAACTATAAGGGAACCTGGAGTAAGGAAGACAGGGCTAAGGTAAAAGCAGGGAGATGGATGAACAGTACGTACAAGGGAGCAGAACTCTTTTTCTGGAGAAAAGAAAGGTAAATGTGACTCTTCTTGAACCACTGCTGATTTTATCCATTTCCTTCGTGTCCAGCTAAATTGGTAGAAGCCTATGCATGCCTCTCACACTCTGCAAATCATTCAGATAAAAGCTACAATGACACATTTTCCACCATCATTAAACATGTTTATATTTTAATAGGACAGAGCAGGGAGGAGAGAGGGGTTAAAACCTCTCTATGCAGAAGTCCTCATTGAATAAGTAATCAGTTCTAGAAGCAGATTAGCAGGGAGACCTACGGTGGGGAAGTTCCACTGCTGTCCTTAGCTCTTCTAACTACACTAAACTCATCAACACTTGTGTTTTTTAATCAGAAGGAATCTTGAGACCAGCCAAACAGCCCAACCACTCATTGTTGCCTTTTCTGGGTCTGAATCTTTGATACAACCAGACACCTCCAGAGTTTGTAGGGAGCCTCATCCCTACAATACCCATCTCTCACCAGGCCCTTTGGGGAGAGGGAGGCCTCTGAATCATAGCACAAGGGCACTGTGTGTGTGTGTGTATGTATGTGTGTGTTTGTGTGTGTGTGTGTGTAGTCCCCCTCCCCCCCCCCACACACACAATTCAACAACATTTACAACCAACCAATAAGTAAACAGGTCTCAGCCTCCAGAGCCCAAACACCAAGGACTGGACCACACAGTGCACTCTAAGCCATACTGCGTCAACCATACTGAACAATCAGATCAATGCCAGGCCATTTCTGGACCCTGCAAAAATGGGCCAGAGGCTTTCTAGGCCCTGTGCAGTCTTGAAATGTCTTTGGATATTTCAAATTTCTTTGGCAAAGAAAGGCCACATTATGTTCATACCCGTTTTAGTTCGAAGTATCTTTTATTTCATGTTTTCAGTATGACTCATCTACGTATGCTGCGATGAGTTTTCAAACAGCCAGCCTGGAGACACTAGAAGCCAGCCATGCCAGCTGCAGGCGGGAAGCTGCATAGAGGGCCCAGGTGCCACCATTCAGGGTAGGTCCCACATCAGTGGTCTGTTTCCTGGCCTATGGCCCATCTGGCTGGGTCATACACACACTGAACCCTGCAAGTCACTTGCTTTTCCTGATCCTGAAGTGTAAGTGGGGGCCAGGCCCGCCCCCATCCCCAGTCACTGTGAGTCTTGGACGAGGTACTGGGTCTGGGTCTGATGCCTGCCGGGGGAATCCATCCCAGGGCAGGAGCTGTTCTTGCACTCTTTTTTCCCTTCCTATTTCATTTTGCTATTACTGGGGACTGAGCTCAAGGCCTCAAGCTTGCTAGAAGGGTGCTCTACCACTGACCTACGCTTCCAGCCTGTTTGGGCTTCGGCTATTTTCAGACAGGATATCATACTTTTGCCTTGGGCCATCCTGGATGGTGATCCTCCCACCTCTGCCTCCTGTGAGTGGGTAGCTGGGATTCCAGGTGCTAACTACCACATTGACCCTGGAGATATTTCTCTGTGATAATATGGACTGACAAAGACAGTGACCTCATGAAGACCCTCCAGTTTCTTGGAGAAGACTAAGGAGGATTTCCTCATTGCTCAATAAATAAATGCCCTGTGGACTCCAGGCCTGTCGTGGGGCTGAGGACACGGAAGGGACCTCACTCTAAAGCCATGAGAATGAAGTCTTGATGGGAGTCCCACAGGGCAGGGGACAGCAGCAGAGATGACATTTCTGAACAAGAGGAGATGCACGACACAGCTGAGTCTCCCGGAGACTATGTGCTCCTCACTGATCTTCCCACATCTTACCAGAAGGTTCCGTGCCACTCTCACTCACAGGACAGATACAAAGGACTCACGAAACTTTTCCAGCCTATGGTGCATTGAGCACACAGCCACTGCTTCTGCGGACGGGGTCACTGCTACAGAACCCCCTGGCTGAATGGGCTAGAGCCTGGTGTGAGGAGGGGCAGAAAGGGCAAGCAAGTACATGAGCCACAAGTCTGTTCCCACCCTCAGTTTCTACCATGGATCAATCCCCCTACCTGTCTCCCCACTCATCCCCTCATCTCCCCCCACCACATCTCCCTCCCCCTTACCTCCCGCCCCTGCCTCCCTCCCACACACACAGCATGCCTGTCCACAGCCTTTTTTCTTACTTACTTAGTTAACTGCCTCTGCCTCAGCTTATTCCTTCTGAGAATAGTTCCCTCCGCACTTGCCCTCCACAATCCACACAGTTTCCCTAATGCCACATGAAGGACACCATCCAGAGCATAAACTGGCCACCTCGCAACCATTTCCAGAAAGATGAGATGATGTGGAATGCACAAGTTTGAGGTGCACAGATGCACTGCCCAGGGGAATTTGCCTTTTGTGGCTCTTGTCACCATGCAGGTGGCACTTCTCTTGGAGTGCTTACAAAGAGGCAAACACAGCTGGCCTCCCACCTTGGCAAGACAGAGGTCTGTCTTGCTGATTGCGAGTCATGCTCCTGGATCACAGCGATCCTTCCCTTGGAATTGTGGGGGTTTTTCTTGAAAAGCCCAGGTGTTCTCACTCAGGGTCACCAAGCCAGTAAGAGGACCTGACGGACTTGCCAGGTGGTAGTGGCTCACACCTGTAATCCTAGCTACTCAGGAGGCTGAGATTCAAAGCCAGCCTGATCGGGAAAGTCCATCAGACTCTTATCTCCAGTTAACCACCAGAAAACCAAAACTGGAGCTGTGATTCAAGTGGTAGAGTGCTAGCCTAGAACAAACTCGGACAGTGCCAGACCCTGGGTTCAAGCCCTCCTCCCCCACCCCACCCCCAAAAATGAGGACCTGACTGGACTAATCTCTATGGAGCCCTTTGTATATCTGTTCTGAGTATTTGGCAGAGCTAACTCCCCAAGTTCCCCCTCCTGATGGCCACTGATGTGGGGAATCTGGAAGTCTGGGTTTTCTTTAAGAGGTAACAGGCAGGTTTGGGGGTGGAGGCAATCTGCCAGGCTTTGTGGCCTTGGGGTGTGGCAGAGCCAGCCAGACCCCACCCACAGCTATCTAAACACAGGAAAACAGCCCTGCACAGAGCAGATCTGTGGTGAGGGAACAGGCTCCAACCCAGCTTTCAGGTTTCCAAAATGTTCTCATAGCTTCTTTCACCTTCTAAGAAGAGTAAGTCTGGGAAACCTTGCTCTCTGAATAGAAGCCAATTCCTCTTCCCAGGGAACGTATCACCTGCAGAATGCCAACTCTGTAGTCCCCACCCCCAGCCAGCTGTTCAAGCTCTGTGACAGTGCAGCCTTTCTGGACATCTGTGCATCTACCTCCCTGGACCACTCGAGCCCTTCAAGGACACCAGATTTTTTTTTTTAATTTAACAAATTGTCCACTCAGCCAGCAGCTCCTCTAGGAACCAAAGATCAGCCAAAGGAAAGAGGGAGGAAGCTAAATGTGTTGTTCCTGAGTGACTGGCAAATCCCTTAGTCCAGGGATCTCCTGGCCACGGCACAGAGGTGGCAGAATCCAGCTGAGGGTCATCCTCTACCCGTTCCAAGTGAAGATCAAACAGCCTACCCTCCCAGGCCTCGAGTTCACCCATGAGCTGCTCCAATTTTAGCACTGGGTGCTGACTCATTAGTAGCTCAGGAAACCCACGCACCTAAGCCACCAGTCTACAGAGGTCTTGTGAAGGCCCGCAGGCTGATCTGCTGCTCTAAAGCAAATTTGAAAAAAAAATGCTTATCATGACGTATTTATGACATTTTAACCAATTCAGTTACAGTAACTAGAATGATATTTTTAAAAATATTTCCTGGCTGGGTACCCACGCTTACAATCCTAGCTATGCATCCTGAGCTCTGAAAAATCACAGCTCAAAGCAAGCCTGGGAAGAAAGGTCCTCGAGACCCTTATCTCCAACTAACCAGCAAACAGCCAGAAGTAGAGCTGTGGCTCACATGGTAGAGCACCAACCTTGAGTAGATAAAGCTAACAGATAGTGCCCAGGCCCTGAGTTCAAGCCCAGCAACAACACATGTGTGTCCACACACACACACACACACAAATCCTACATTTTACTTGACAAATAAAGGCAAGTCCACCACATTAGTCACTGCTCCAAAATCAGCCATAAGTCAAGGTCAAATCCAATGGGAGCCCTCCCAGCCCCCACCACCCCATGGCCCATCCTTCTTGCCTCAGAGCCCCCCCTCCAATCCCACCCCATCCAAAGCATGCTGGCTATCTTCCTGTTTTTTTTTTTTGTTTGTTTTTACCACAGTCTGTGTCTTCTAGGAAAAGGACAAAACACAAGCTCCTGGAAGCATCCAGATGCCTTTAGTGAAGAAAGCCCAAATTCTGCCTGGCTATTGTATCTCTGCTCTCATGCCAGGCTGCTGAGATCAGGCGGTCAGCAATTGCTCAAGGGTTCCTTCCTCCACTTCTGAGAAAACGGAAGCTCAGGCAGCCTCAGCAGCCTGGGGTTAGTGCAGAAGCACCCACCTCCATCTCTGAGCTTCACTTTGACTTCTAGAAAGCAGTCTCCAGCCGAGCCACTTGCCCCAAGAACGCTTCAAGACAATCTAATGTATGTCAAGCACCCATCTTCCCAAGACCACCAACCAAGAAGTCCCCCTGAGAGGAGTCAGCCCAACACACCGTAACCACAGATGGGGGCACACAGAGCCACTGTTCTGAAATTATAGACCTCAAAAGTCTGCAAGAAATGCAGGATCCAAAGCTTAGCACACAGCCACTTTGACAAGACCCAAGGGTCTGGGACACATTTAGGGATCGTGGTAAAATGACAGAACTTACTCACCAGGGAGAAGCTGAGGGCTGCTCTATGATGATTCCAAGAAGTTCCCAGGGCTCAGGCACAACCACGGTTTTGAAACTTGCAAGGTAGCAGCCCTACAGTCACTTAGTTCCCTCCATTCCCAGTGATGTCCATACAATTGAGACCAAAAAGGGGGGGAAAAAAAGGCGCACACCTCAGCCTCCGTTCTCATTGGAACAAGATGACTCAGGCTGAGTCAGGGCGGGCCACTTCCTCTCCCGACATTCTCTTCATATTTGTGAGCTGGGTTGGTCCAGTTCCCAGGGTCCCCAACGCCCTTCCGGAAAGAGCCGCCTTCCTGACCCTGCCAGAGACCCACAGGCTTGTAACCCAGGGATCGCCCACACTGGGAAAGGCTTTATTTAGAAGACTTGGGAACAAATGGAAACTGAAATGCATTCGAATGTCAAAGAGTCACTATAATTGTGCAGTGCAATGCAAGGCTCAGGCATGAAATCCACTGTTCTCAAGGTAGTTGGGGGATGGGAAGGGTAAGTTCTCTTTCCAGTGCCTTTTGCTTTAAGTTATTCAGAGTAGCTTCTGCAGGAGAGCCCCGATTTCCATGCATGCATTCTTCCCCTTGCATTCTGCTCTTACACCAATTCCTAGATTCTAAAGGCAGTACCTCTTCAGAGCTGGTGATTGAATGGGCTTCTGCCCTGATTTGTTTTTTGTTTTGTTTTGTTTTTTTCCTGTGAACTCTGGACCTTAGTTTTTTCACTCCAGGCTGGCGCTCAACCACTTGAGCAACACTCACATTTGGGGCTTTTAAGTCGTTAATTGGGAGAGTCTCACGGACTTTTCTGCCTGGGCTAGCTTCAGACTGCAATGCTCAGATCTCAGCCCCCTGAATAGCTAGTACTACAGGGATGAGTCTCTGATGTCCTGTTTCTGCACTGTTTTAAGGCTTTCATGACTCACATCCTTTCTGACCATCTGGCTAGATGGGAAGAGTCAAGGCCCAGGAAGTTAAATAAAGATATGGCACTGTAACTTGGAGAAGATTGCTGGATGTTTACATGCAATAACAGAGCTGCCTCTGCCTTGTTGTTTCAATGCTGCAGAGGAGGAGCCATCCTGAGAGAGCAGGATCCCCAGCAGCCTCTGGGGAAGTATGAAGGGCTGCTGTGGCAGCTTTCAGCTGCTTATACACCTGGAGAGTGACACACTCAGCTGCTTACATGCCTAGAGGGTGATACACCAGTCAGGTCCACATTGTTGCCCTGAAAGCCTTGAGTTCCTGATTCTGATCTCCCAATTGCAGACTGATACATCTAGGGGTCTTGAGTTCTTTCTCTCCACCAAATAAATTCTGAGGCAGAAATAGTAGCAGAGGCAAAGTGTAGTTGAAAGTAAGATTGATTAAGACACTAGGGGAAACTGAGGAATAACCTCTTAGCTACTGGATGAAGCAGTATAAGCCCCGAGTTGGGCCTGCTTACTGCCCTATGAGGTCTTATCTGCTTCCCAGGTGAGGAAGAAGAGGAGGAAGAGGAAGGAGCATACAGACTTCTTGGTGTGAGTGAAGAGGCCCCCAAATCAGAACCTAGTAGCCTAATGTAGGGGGGTTAGTTTTATAGTCCTCTCATGCAAGTCTCAGCAGTTCTGGCATCTAGTTGGGTCACGGTCTTCTTTAACCCAAGGGGAGGGATGCCTGCTCCTGGTGTAGGTCTGCTTCAGGATCAGGACTTAATGATCCCCCTTGGGTCTTCCGCAAGAGAAAAGTGTCATCTCCACAGGCTTTCTCCACACTCCCTCCCCCCACCCCCCAAGGTGCCCTGTCCTCTTCCTCTTTCCTATTTGTGTTGCCCTCCAGCAAATAAGGGAAACTCATTTTGGAGGAGGACAGACCCAGATGCGCTTGGAGGGTGCAGAGCTGCACCTGTGTGTGGTCATCTTGCCCGTAGGGGGTCAGGGGACCCCATCTTCACTGGCAGCTGGGTTCATCTCAGGGGGAGAAATATGTTTCCTATGTTACTCTACATGCTAGATTTTCCATCAGACAAGACCAGGCATTTCTGAACATTTTTTCTTTATTACTTTTTTTTCATTCATGGTACGTGAGTTTGTACTAAAGGCTTCACTCTTACAAGACAGATGCTCTACCATTTCAGCCATGGCTGTTTTTGCTCTTATTTTTTTAGCTAAGTTCTCATTTTTTGCCCCAGCTGGCTTAGACTATGATCCTATTTACACTTCCCACCAGAAACAGGGCTTGGGTGGCAGGGGTCCAGTAGCCTGGGAGGGGCGAGATGGGCTTTGACCAGGAATTCTGTGGGAAGCAGGTCTATGGATCGATACGCATGGCCTCTATGTGGAAAGCCAGCCTTTTTTCCCCCTTCTGTGGAGAGACTCTTCATTAAGCCTGGTGAAGGTACAGGACGCACTGAAGCCCATCAGAGGGTTCTTGCCCTTCCCTGTTCCTCACTTCTGTCCTAAGGCAAACACAGTGCACCGTAAAGATAGCCTAGATTCCAGGAAACCAGCAAGTGCTTTACTCTCCTGGAGAAACAAAATTGTGGGAATTAAGATTTGGCCAACTGGTTAATGCATTACAATTTTGTACAAAACTCATAATGCTGGGGTGGGTCAAGTCTGTAATCCTGTTTTGGACAGAAGCAGGCAGAGGTCAAAAGGATGAAGACTTAAAGCCAACCTAGGCTAAATAAGTAAATACATAAAGGGAGTCCATCTCAACAGAGAAATTCCCAAACTAAATATTTAATAACTTTTTTTGTTTTGATCAGGGATTGAGCTTGTGGCTCACTCCTATAATCTTAGCTACTCCAGAAGCTGAGATCTGAGGATGACATGTGGTTTAAAACCAGCTCAGAAAAAAAAAAAAAAAAAAAAAAACCACCAGCTCAGGCACAAATGTCTGTAAAACTCTTTACCTCCAAGTTACCAGGTTTCCTTCCTCACATATACCTCTGAGCTGGAAAAGGCAGGTATCTGACAATATGTGTTGCTAATTATTTGAAAGTTCTCCTGGCAGTACAGTATTTGAGTCACAGGCTTCCATCAGAAGTCTAGAACCTAAATAAATGAATCCCACACTAAGCATGTGTTTTAAGGCTCGGTGTCTATGAATGAAATTCAAGGCCATAAAGTATTGCTTAATAAAATAGACATAATAAAATGTCAGAAACAATGAGAAAAAAGCCAGGAAGCTGGAACACACCCATTCACAAATGTTTAAGGGAAGCTCTTCAGAGGCCTACTGCTGACACACATCCTGGGGACACAACAGGAAAAAGGTGTAAAAGGTCCCTGCTCTCAGGAAGCTTCTATTCAGCAGGATGAGGCAGGGGAAAAAAAACAAACAAAACCACTTGAAGAGTATAAGCCCATGATAGACATGGGGTGAAAAAGTGGTCCAGGATGACAGGGAACTTCCTCGGAGGGGCTGGAGGAGGCCATAGGAAGGAGCTTAGACTGAAAGGCAAATTCAAGAAGGGACATCTGAATTGAATTTTCCAAGTCTCTCTGAAAGGGAAGATGGCTGTGGAGTCCCCAGGAAACACCAGAGTCCAGTTGGTCCTCTTGTCTCAGAGTCACACAGTCCTAGCAAACATGGAAAAAGGAAGCTGTATGCGGTAATGTGTGGAGCAGAGACGTTGAGCGGGTGGCGTTTGGGGCTGTAGTGGAAAGAGGTTAATCCAGTGTGACCCTTGGGTTTCTGCTTTGCAGAAACAGAATGGTGGCACTTGCTGAGGCAGGAGGGTTGAGACGGGGTACAAGAAGCCAGGGGGAGGTGTTGTGGAGATGTTAGTGGACCTGGAACTGGAGACCCCTGGCCTGGAGAGGCAGAGACAGACAGACAGACACCCAGAGATACTGAGAGAGTGTGGATTAAGTACATTTATCTTACAAGGTTAAAACTAGGGAGCCACAGAGTAGGCTTTCATGATGAAAGGGGAGGCCGGTTGGCCAGGACTGATAAGTCCTGGTCAGATGAGAACAGGGCAGGGTGTGCTGGCCTGGCCACAGCAGCCCATTTGAATTGGACCCAAAGCCTGGGTCCAGGGGCTGGGGATGACAGTTAAGGAATGAGAACACAGCCCACAGGTGACTCCCTAACAGGGCAGCTGGGAAGTGTGATGTAGTGCACCCTGAGACACGCCCCCTCACACACACCAAAACCAGTGATACCAATTAAAGGACTGGGATGCTAAGTGACACATGGGTGACAAGTACTGCTTTTCTCCTGTGGATAGAGAAGGTGTTTCCTTGAGTTCAATATGTGCTGGAAAGGAGAGCATCCTTTCCAGTAGGATTCACTGTCATCTAGCCCCCAGCTTAGCAGAGGTATCAACAATAAACAAATGTCATTTGTATCAATGGTCTCTGCTTAGGTTAAAAACTCTACCTTTGGGCTGGGAAGGTGGCTCGGTGGTAGAGCGCTTGCCTTTCATGCCTGAGGCCCTGGGTTCAATTCCTCAGCACCACATAAGCAAAAAGAAAAAAGCCGGAAGTGGCACTGTAGCTCAAATGGTAGAGCGCTAGCCTTGAGCTGAAGAGCTGAGGGACAGCGCCCAGGCCCAGAGTTCAGGCCTCACGACCGGACCCCCCCCCCAAAAAAAAAAACTCTACCTTTGAAATATTAGCAAGAAAAACCTAAAGCAAAATTCTAATGAAGATCCCAGGCAAGTCAGATGGCTTGTGCCTATAATCCTAGCTACTCAGGAGGCTGAGATCTGAGGATCACAGGAGGCTGAGCTCTAAGAATCATGATTTGAAGCCTGCCTGGTCAGACAAATCCATGAAACCCATCTCCAATCAAACAATCATAAACTGAAAGCGGAGGTATGGCTCAAGTAGTAGAGAGCCAACCTGGAAGGAAAAAAGACAAGCAAGAACACGTGGCCCTGAGTTCAAGTCCCACTATGGTACAAAATCAACAATCAGTTCCAGTTCCATTATTGGTTGACAAGAAGAGTTTATGAATGGTTTCTTTCCTTTCTAAGTGCTCTGAGATGATAGCTTTCATCACTGGAGATGGTTTGGTACAATTGGGAAGTTCCTTAGGCTGCTCACTGGGAAAGCCAAACCAAAAGAAACCTTCCATATCTAAATAATCCTCTGGCCTGATGCAGATGACATGAAGCATGATCTCTAGTAAGCCATCTTGATTTGTAGCTCGGCAGCTGTTACACTGAAGAATTCACTTCTTGATTTTCACTTCATTATTTTGTTACACTTAATGAGTCCCTG